CCCCCCCCTGGAAGTGGCAGCAGTGCACCACTGGCACTTCCAGGTTGGCGTGATCAGCTGTGGGGGAACTCCCCCCAGTCAGCGCAATCAGCCACAGGGAGACCCCCCTGGGTGCTGACTGGCCACTGGGAGGAGGCAAGTGCCCCCCCTCCCCCCGCAACTCAGGAGGCACCAATTGCTCATGCACAGCCACGTCTTAAGTCCAAACATCGTAACTCGGAGCCGATTTTCCCATAGGAACTATGTTATAAATGGGGGGTTGGTTCCTGAACCAAGGCCAATACCCACCAAAAATAACCCAGAATTTTGTACTTGATCAATTATAGATGAGTCATCCAGACTTCTTTGATGCGACTTTGCTGGACTTTTTGAAGGGCTCTTGGCTGGAGTCTTCTCAGGAGGCTTGGCTGCAGATTTTTCTGGAGTCTCGCCTGCTTTCTTAAAGAAGGCATCCAAGGAAGTTTGGACAGATGTTCTCCAGGGAGGTGGGCGATGCAGCGAACTCGTTCGCTGGCATGGCATCGGATCAAGCGTTGTAAAGTCGACACTGACGTCAGACAGTCGAAACAAGGTGTCGATTTATAAATGTCGTAAGTGCCGTTAGTTGCAACTCGAAACGTCTTAAGTTGAGGACTACCTGTATTTTGGTTGTCTGCCCCTGTCCTATGCTCCTTTTCACCCCATGTGTTTTATCCAGGGCTGTAATCAAAAGGACGGTACAACTTGCTGCGTACATTTGAAAGTCTTAAAAATGGTGGCGAAATAAGTAAAAAAAAAAAGTAACCCAGCCACCACATGAGACCTTGACCCCAAGCTTTGGGTACGAAGCTGCAGCCCAGAGTACACTTTGGCAACTTGAGTTGCACACCCCTGAAAATAATGTGTATTTATCATGGAAGTGCTGATGTAGCCCTAACAATAGCTGCAGCCGCAGTGTCACTGCACTGCTGGATGTTTAGCTGCCGTCACTGGAGAGTGTTGCAAGTCTGAGCTTTGGGCAGTTTCCAGCGCCAAGAAAGTTTTATCCTGTTATCATACCTAACTGAACATTAAAAGCAACCCTGTACTTAAAAAAAAATCCCAGTCACAGAAGGTGTGGGGTTGGTAATTTATTGACGAAGCAGGCAGAGGGACAAAAATAAAGCCAAGGATTCGAATATACAGAACAAGGTCTGACAGCAGTCCCATCAGACCACAGGAGAGATGGAGGCCGCTGGCACTGTGATGCATAGCTCCAAAGACATGCATGTAGAAACGCTGAGAGTCCTATCAGTCAACCATGCTTTTCTGGTACATTTTTCTGCACCTCATTTTTTTTTAATCAGTTTTTCCAGTCTCCTCAGAATGCTACGATCATATGCATGTGTTGCCGACTGCTTTTTTCCCCTCTATTAAGTTGTGTTTTTTCCTCGTCTGTGGATGTCTGCTCCTTCTAAGTACTTCCTGGCGTGTTCGGGTACACCCCTGGTTGCTCACTACTGTCATTCCAAACAACCAGTGTGGCACAGGCATGGGGTACCAGTGGTGTAAGCTTCCTTGCAAATGTGTTACAACCATTACCTGGAAGGAATGTCTCAAAGAATGAAAGAGTAACTCAGTCCCATGACAGTCTCAGATTTTGGACTTGCCAATAGAAACTTAACCGTTGCATTAAGTTTGTACCATGGACACGTATCAAGAACAGGACTGAGACAAGTTATGAAGATTGTAGAACAGCCTTTAGAAAATGACAGGTCTACATTTTTACTAACTCATGCCTTGATCCTGCAGTCACATTCACACAGGTAGACTCCTCCTTTGCAACACTTCACTGGAGTCCAGCTCTGGGGCTGGGGCCTTGGGTTGTATGACTCTACTGGTGACAGACAATACATTCCATTATTGATACCTCTGTATAATCCTCTTGGCCCCCACTGAGAGTATCTTGTATTTTTATAGATCTTTACTTAATGGTCTATATTTGCATCTACAAACAGGCTTTTTTCTTGGGGGTACTGGGACTGTAAAGTGATAAGGTCCACATGAACAGTTGAAAGATGACTTGCTTTATATGTTCTCATTTTTAAATGAGGTTTCCACAGGTATTACTGCTTCTATTGATGCAACAAAGGAGATGGGTTAGTGCGACAAGGTTTACCTTGATGCAGGAACTCCTCCTGCTTGCCTGTGCAAAGGATTCAGGGAGCATAAGCAGCTACTTTTCACAATAAATGGTATTTCTGTACTACACGTAATAAACATAACATTTGTACATGCTGTAGCCACACAGCTGTGGTCCACATGGGTGACATAAATATGTTTGCAGCGGGACATAACATGCTCAAATGTCATGATATTTTCTCATAGGCAGCCATATGTGCTATGGTGTACAAACACGGGCTGAGCAAAAAGTGCTGTAGCTATTGTAAGCACTCTAGCCATTCTACTCCCTGTTATATTTAAGAGAGAGGTCAAGCAACAGACAATTATGTGGTGGTCTTGGCATTTTTCTCTTGATTGTATTTAGGTATATTTGCCTAATTTAAACAACTAATAGAATCGGAAGTAAAGCAGAAGCCCTGCTCTTACACAAAGAAAATCCTTCCTCAATAGCTTTCATAGAGCTACCTGGCAGGAATAAGGGTTAGATCAATAGAGGGCTGAATTTAGTTTCTTAATTTAGTATGGGAATCCTAAGTCTGATTTTGAAGTGATACCAGTAAAACAGATATTAAGGAAAGCCAGCTGCTTCTATTAAATAACCTCCTTTGTCTGAGACTTAAAGAGAAAAAAAGCCAGGTGGAGTTATTGATCTGTGAATATCAGCCGGCTGGGCTTCGCTGTTGCTGGACTCCTATTTCTCTTAATTGCCAGCACCTTCTAGGAAAGCCTGGCCAAGCAAGCTCATAGAAAGAAATTACTCTGGCTGCGTGGTAGTTTTGTCCCTCCAGGCTGCAAATAGCTCGCCCGCAGCCTCTGTAAAGATAAGAATTCATGGGTGAAACCCTGGCCTTAGCAAAGTCAGTGGCAAAGCTCCGATTGACTTCAGTGGACAAGGATTTCACGCCATACGTTTTTTATGAAGATGAGAAAGC